CTCCAGCACACCGGTTGCTCTTGGTCAGTCTCAGGTTGATTTCAGTTTCTTCCTTACATGTCTGATCAATAAGAGTACCTAAGTACATATATTCATCCACCTTCTCGAATTCTACAACTGATCCATCCCCCACCTCCAATTTAAAGGATCCCCTGGTGTTTATTCCTTTTTTGCTCGAGATCTCCATGTACTTCGATTTATTAATATTAACTTTCAGTTCCATTTTAGAGCTTTCCTGAATCAATCTTTTTGTTATATTTGATAGTTCTTTTCCATTTCTTGCAATGAGAACCACATCATCAGCGTATGCTAAGCATTTGTGTTCCTTGTAAAAAATAGTTCCGGACCTATTTATCCCACTAACCCTTACAATTTTTTCTAGAACTATATTGAATAGCAATGCAGACAACGGGTCTCCTGGGCGAACACCTTTTTTCACTTCGAATTCTTCTGAGACTGTACCGTTGCATCTCACAGCACAAATGGTTTGTCTAATTGTCATTTTTACCATTTTTATTATTTTTTCTGGCACTTGGAATTCTTTTAGTGTGTTTCTGTCTATTGTATCGTAGGCAGCTTTGTAATCAATGAAAAGTACTTGTGCTGAAATGTTTTATTCATAGCAATTGATCAGGATTTGTTTTAGCATAAAAATTTGATCGGTTGTTGATCTTCATTTCCGAAATCCTCCCTGGTATTGTCCTAGATTCTTCTCTATATATATTTCTAATCGTTTTTTAATTAGTATGGCGAGTACTTTATAAATTACCTCTAATAAGGATATTCCTCTATAGTTTGCGCATTCAGTTGTATCTCCCTTTTTGTGTATAGGAATTATAATCGACTTATTAAATAATAAATAATATTTATTTAATATAATTACGTTTTAAATAAATAAAAATTAACATTAAAAAGCGACTTATGAAAAGGTTTGTATATCCCATAGTTATTAGCTGCTGTTTTGAATAATTTTGCAATAAAAATACGATAAATGTAATTATTTTAACGTTGTACTCCCGTTTAAAAAAATAAAGAGTAAATTTAGTCCAATAGAATCCGAGCTATGTCATTTTTTCCGAGCGCTCTATCTTGAAACTTAGTCTCTTGTCGGACGAAAAGTACTTTGTTTACAACATCCCTGTTTAAACAGTTTTCAATAATTTTGTTTGCTAAAAATTTTGACTTTTTTCATAAAATATTTATTCAGGTTAATTGCATCCCTTAATGTTGTTAATTAACGTAACAGTGATTTAAAAAAAAGGACTATTATGGTTTCTAAAAGTCGTAGGACCTCTTTTTATTTCAAAAGTTGTGTTTTTTAACCAGCTTTCCGAATATTTTTTGCCATTTAATTTGATCTAAATTCTACTAGTTATTGTAAATGTTTATAAGCTTAAAAAGTGTTATTTATTATTAAATCATTTTGTGTACATAAATGTAATCTTTTGAACCTATTTTCCATAGGTTATGAATATACGTCTTAGCAAAGAAAATAAGCACCGGATTATTGAGATACATTCAGTCAAATTATCTGGACCGGCCTTAGAAATTAGTTCATTGTTCAAAAAATCTTATAAACAAATTAAATTTCGCAAAAACTATTCAACCGATCTGGCCCATATTTTGCCCACAATTCAAACACGATTAGACCGTTAAGTTCAGGTATATTTAAAAGAATTTTAATAACTAATAAAAAAGTTATTAACTATATTCAAAAACAGCGATTTTGTTCTTCATTTTGCAAATACTATTTTGTTTATTTTTTTTTATTTATTTACTCTGTAACCACAAGGGTTATTAGCGACCTAAAAAATATAATACAAATAGAGTTATAAAAAATTACAATAATTGATACAGTCCTGAGTATTTAAGATAACTTATTGTGTTTTTAATATTCATGTTTTCTCATAAGGCTTCCTTAAAAAAATATACGAAGCTTGTTTCAGGTAATTAGCTAGAAGTGTCTCTTGTTCCTTAGAAAAAATATTACTCCCATTGAAATACCTACACGTTCTAGCTTTACATTCCCACCATCTGATCTGGCTTTAACTATATAGCGCTGAAGTGTTTTTTTGTGGTATTGATGCTGTCTTATTACTTTTCCACTTGTAGTTTCTCATAGTTCTGCAGTAACAAAAATAAAGACGATTAACGCTTCAGATATATTTACATTTGGAGAAACATATGCAAAATAACAGTTGCTAATAGTTTCCAAATGCGTCTATATCACTATCAACTTATTAATCCATTGTGAAATGCCAACTTAGTTCACACATTCTGAAATTTGAGTACATAATGGGGTTTGTCGACTAAGCCAACAGACCCCTGCATAGCTTAGTCGACAAGCCCCAAGCGTCACACTGTCATTCCGAGGTCCGTATGATAGATATATGCTATGGTAGATACAAATAAATCATGTCAAATCATAGTCAATGTATGTTACTTGACTTAATATTCAGTGAAATTTGTGACGAACGATTTTATAGATAATAATACAAAAATTGTTCTGAAGCTATGTTCTTGTGGCATTTTAAATTAATTACTATGTAACTGGGAATAAGCCACAATTAAAGATAAAAATACGTTTATTGACGTTTCAATTTCCACTTCGGAAATCGTTCTCAAAATACAAACAGTAAATTAAACAAATTTTGTTTTTCCCTCATAATTTACTATGGAATCACTAACAGGAGAATTTTACTGTCATCATGTCATGTGTTTGTCTTTTTAAAGACGAATTACATGCTATGATTTTTTTTTCTGACGGATATTCTCAAGTTAAAGTTGATTTCATGTAATCGAATGAACTATCTTATAAGTAAAGTCATCCCAGGAGCGCAACTCAACAATATTGGCAATATCATTTTAAAGTCGTCTACTTTAAAATGCATAATGTATGTCTGAATTGTCAATATAAATGAGTCAGATAAAATTAAATTCTTAGAAGAATTTTTCACTATGTAACAAAAAACAAAATTTGTTTAATTTACTGTTTGTATTTTGAGAACGATTTCCGACGTGGAAATTGAAACGTCAATAAACGTATTTTTATCTTTAATTGTGGCTTATTCCCAGTTAAATAGTAATTAATACAAAAATGTTACGAACCAAATTAATTGCTTACCAAGAATGATTCTAGATTTCTCGTTCTCACTGACAAAAAACACAAGCGACCATAACAGCGATATTCGAACATGAAGGCGCAAGAGTGGGAAGTCCTGGTAACGTGTCTAGAGGTGACATCTGTTATACATTAGAGAACGGAGGGGCAATTAGTCAACTTACCCCTTTAGTCAACTAGCCCCGGTCTCCCCTACATAGCATCGAAGTGACCTTACTTTTCTATTGAGGTTAAAGTCTACTCTTGAATATTTTCTGCATCCGTATGAAGGCTTTTCTGATTTTTTCAGATGATCTTATGATTTCTGATCTTATTTCCGTCGAGTGTTCCCATTTATCACTGACATTGCTTCTTAAGTAAGTATATAATTTGTTTCCTGTTTATTTCTAGTCTTCAGGTTAGTGTGTTGCTTAGATCCATAATTCTGACTCATTTCTGTAACTTTATTGACTATATGTTGTAATCCTTTTAGACTATCAGCAAACATGACAGTATCATCTGCGTAGCGGATTTTGCCCGCAGACAGCTTCGCTTGAAGAATTCTCGATCAGTCATCGTTGGAATCCGTTTAACAAGGCGGCTGTGTTAAGATGCATTATCCCACACTATGACATAATTATAATCAATACCCTTGAGAATGTTCTCGAACCATGCAGAGTTCATTCTTCTTCTTTAAGTTCCATCTTCTATCGAAGGTTGGAAATCATCATGGCTATGCGGACTCTGTTGACTGCCGCTCTAAAAAGTTCTGCACTACTGCATTCAAACCATTCCCTTAAGTTCTTAAGCCAGGATATTCTTCGTCTTCCCACATTTCGCTTTCCTCGGATTTTGCCCTGCATAATAAGTTGGTGCAGAGTTCATGCCGTCATGATATTTGGCATTATAATTTAACAGTATAAAGGAGCTTGCCTAGCATTTGTTACTGTTTTATATAGTCAAACTTTGCCAACTGTAGGTTTGGCGTTAGCGCAAGTCTCATCCAAGTTAATAAATCTTTTTTTGTCGTGCGATTTTTCCAATTTTATTGTACATAATTACGTCGTTATGCTATTATTTCCTTCTTATCGGTTAAAATCATGTAATGTTTTTTGTAGTGATTCACTACTCATTTTAGGAAAATTATTGATTTCGTCTATTTCACTTAATACAAATTTCAGAGTTGGGAGTCTCATTTTTAAAGACAAACGAGTGTACATTTCTGCATGGGATATTTTTTTAAGTTTCATCCAACTTAATAGCTTCTCGTCCGCACTAATTTGTATTTAGGTTTTAAAACGTCAGATTAGTTTTCTTTCGCGAACAATACTGTAGCCACTGAAAATTCTGTTAACAAAGAACAGCGACTAACTCCCTCTGTTAAAGTTATTTTTTTAGTCTATCATGTACTTTCCAGATAGTTTTTTTATTTTGTGAGACGGGTCTATGGCGTGGATGTCGTTTACTTGTACCATTTATTTCCTTGTGGACCGCTGAGTATTGATGTCATTTTCAGAGCCCCAAAGCTATTGGACTGTTACATCATCCTCATCGAGGCCTCTCATTTCTGCTGGAATGTTTGCCGCTCCTGGTAGCATTTCAATATTCTTTAGATTATTTCCATTGTTGTTGAAAAGATATAATTTTTTTCTCTTTAGAAATTTTCAGATTTCTTGGTATATTTAATTATTTTCTGATATTTGCCAACTTCACTTTCCGCTACTGTTTATTTCTTGTAGCAGCGAGAGTCATGTTTAACAGGCATACCTTGTATCTACATGAAAAGAATATAAACATTCTGACAGTAAGTAGCAGCTATACCCTCTGGAATAACACTATGTATTCATATTGATTTGTGTGTTTTCAGGTAAGAAAAGGTTTTAAATAAAATCATAAGGCTAACAAAATATATTAACTCTATTCCCAAAATATTTACAAATGCATATTATCTAGAAGCTCTAAACAAACATAAGCTACACAACCCTAATTTAAGAACCTTATGCTCATTTTTTGTTCTACATCGGTCCTTTGTAAAGCTTTACAAAATTCTTCAAATGAAATCATCTGGTCACCATCTTCATCAGCTTCAACTATAGTTCTTTCTGCAATACTATTTAATTGTTCCTCGCTTATATTTGTTCCAACCATCATATGCAAAATCGCAAGGAGTTCATCTTTAGAAATCATATTATCGTTATCAAGGTCATACATTTTGAATGCAACTAAAAAATATGTACTATATAACCACCACATACTATCATATATAGTACAAATATTTATTATAAGATTTAGAAAGAAACAAAAACTATATTTCCCGTTGGAACAGCATTTAACTAAACAAATTTCAATAAGTGATGCAGGGCTAGTAAACAACGATAAAATTGTATTTTTTGTTAAAGATGTTGTTAACTTGTTGTTAACATTGTTAAAGATGATACTTTGTCAATTTTTTTCTTTTCTAGACTATTAGTTTTTATTGCATAGTATACCTATAAATTATTGTAATCACTGAATAGGGTAAGGTGGGATAATTGGATCATGATTTTATAACAAATCTGCGTTCGGCTCAGATTTTTAGTTACCTAATGATCAAAGTATAAGTAAATTTTAAACTATTTGTATAAAAACATGACCTTTATTTAATACTATTTAAATGTATAGAACCTTAATTTGATTGAAAGTAGTACAGTAATAATCAAATAAATAATAAAATTGTACGTACGCTGGGTCCAGTTACCTCAATTAACAGGGGTAACTGGAGCATCCAGACTAAAATCTCATAAGAGCTGGTAGAAATCATTGTGGGCTATCTGGACCTGATTGCATATTTTTACACTTTTCAATAAAAACCTCAAACAATAATTTAAATTGAGCGGATTTAAAACCAGTCTCAATGTAAGGATATCGTTTCGTACAGCAGATAAGCTTTATGAACAAATTATACAGTTTGCAGCTAACAACTTGTATTTAATGCCATTACATTAAAGAGTTTACAAATCAAAATTAATATCTTAATATATTCCTAAACAAAATTCTTCACAAAACAGAAACTACAAATTAAAAAATAAGATTAGTAAAGAAGTGTTTATAATGTCATATAATGACCCACAAATGCTGCAATTCTTTCACATGAAAAATCCCTCTTTTAGAAATAATTTTTGATTCTTCATTTGCACCAATAACGTCATCTCAATCGTATTTTTCAATATCTACTTTATCTAGCCACTTCCAAGACTTCAAAGATTTCTACATCGATGAAATTTCAACCTGGTCATCTGTAAAGCTTAAGATTTTTCCTGGAAAATACTCTTCTTCATACTTATTACATATTCACCAACTTTTTTGACAATTTGTTTAAGGACTAGTTGCTGAAAATTTCCAGTTCTGCTCATCAATATTATTACAGAACATTTCAAATTTCTTCTCGCTATCTAAACATCTTTTATCATTTTCTCCTATAATATCTTGCAAATCAACATCATCACTATTTTCTGATATACAATCAAAACTGTTCTTTTTCTTGTGTTTTAAAAAGCTTAGTGTATGCTTAATTCGTTTAGCTTTCGGTATGGCCTTTCTTTTCATATTTTTTTTTTCAATTTCTTTCATTTTTTCTTTCTCCTCGTGTTCTTTTTTTATTAGATAATATTTGCAGGTGATAATTTCACAGTTAGTGACCAGTCTTTTTCGTTTCTTCCCTGAATTCTGTGGTCTATTATCTTTTTTCAACATTTCTAATAACAATTCCTCAAATGGTTTACGTGTTTGTAAAGAAGGTACAATTGGCGAGACAGGGCTTTCTTTTTTTACTTGAACTTCGTTTGCAGAACTAGCTTCTGTTCTTTCAACCATTGTAAAGGTAGAGACAGAGGGTTCTGGCTATTTGTTCTGTTAGAATTATAGCGTTCGAGACATCTGATTGTACCGCATCTGAAGGAGTATTAGATGCTTGGTGCCCTTTATCTTCTTAGAGTGTCGTCTCCCTACGGAGGTTGGCAATCATAATGGCTATTTTTATTTTAGAACTTGCTGCTCTAAACAAATCAATCGATCTGCATTGATACCAATCACGTAGATTATTTAACCATGAGTGCTGCCTTCGGTCAACAGATCTTCCTTGAATCTCTCCCTGTATTATGAGTCTCAAAATTTCATATTTTGGTCTCCTCATCACGTGTCCTAGGTATTCCAGTTTTCTGGTTTGTACAGTGGTGATTAGTTCTGTTTCTTTACCAACCCTCTCCAGTACTTCTTTATTTGTAATTCTGTAATTTGTAATATCAGTCCATGATATTTTCAATACTCTGCGGTTCAACCACTGTTCGAAGGCCTAGATTTTTTTTAACTTATATTTTTTTAATGTCCAAGTCTCAGCTCCATATAATAATATTAAAAATATCTAACAGCGAATGGTACGTAGTCTGATCTCCAAATTTAGATTTTTGCACGATAGGAGTGGCTTCATTCGTATAAATGCTGATCTGTCAATCTCTATTCGCCTGTTTATTTCTACAGTATGTATATTTCTACAGTATGTTTATTTATACAGTAATAGGTGATGTATTTTTTGTGGTCTTTTTGTAATTAACATGTACTTCGTTTTTTTCAGCACTATTCATACTCAAGCTTTCAATAAGATGTTGTAGATCCTCTATACTCGTTGCTATGATCACAGTGTCGTCTGCATATGTTAAGTTGTTAATTAATTTTCCGTTAACGGTGACTTCCGCTTCGATATTATTGAGCCTGTTTTTTGGAAAATTTCTTCAGAATATAAGTTAAACAAAAGTGGTGATAAAACACATCCCTGTCTAACTCCTCTACAGATCCTCACAGATCCATTGGTGCCCTACATTGGAATAATTGTAGTACTGCTGAAGATGTAGGCCTACTGTCTTCTGATTGTACTGTGGCTGAAGAAGGGATAGTTACTGAGTGTTGGACATTAAAAGAAGCAGTGGCTTTCAAGTGTACTGTAGTGGGATTGGGAAGATTATGTTTATACCTAAGCAATTCATCTTTTTTCAATATTAATGTAGGAATTGTATCTCTGTTAGGACCTTGTTTATCGGCATCATAAATTCCTGTTATCGGTTAATAGTATTAATACTAGGTATTTCATGTGCTAGCTTGATTATTATTTGTACAAATATTTCTTTAGGATTTTTTTGCGAGGATTTTCCCTCTGCCACTTACTGAGTGCCTTGTCCCAACTATTTTTCAGACCACTAAAGACTGACACATCTAATGGTTGTAATAAATGTGTCATGTGTAATTCACGTAGTAATTCATAATAGTAATTTCATTTTTTTGTGCTAACTTAATCAAATCTGTGGACACATGGGTAGCATGACCATCATAAATTAATAAAATTTATCTCTCCTTTGTAATATTAGGTAAAAAACATCTCTGAACCAATTAAAAACCAAAGTAGTTTCCATCCACCCTCGAGACGTTGTAGAAACTGCAGTTTGGGATGTTATATTCTCATTAATCCAATTATCCATTACGTATTTACCATTAAATATACAGAGGAGAGGTATCATTTGACCATCAGATGAACAACACAACAAAACAGATGTGTTTTATCGGTCCTCCCTATGCTTTTTGTACCAATTGCTCCAACGACCTTTGTTTTATTAGGGTCATGGCAAAATGACGTCTCGTCGCAATTAAATATCTGTAAATGATGATTTCCCCTTAATGTTTAGTTCTTCCACAGTTTTTGTTAATATTTCAAAATTATAGATGACCCAAGGGTTCACCTGATCGCATCTAACATGTACAATACTCCTAGGTTTTTTTATTGGCAGATGATGCCTAGTTTTAAATTATCTAAACCAGTCAGGGCCTGGTCTCTAGTCTTTAAATCTACTCTTGATATTATTATGTCTTATATATAATTGTACTAAGTCTAATACTTCCTCTCTGGATAGGCTAAACCGATTTTTGTCCATAATTTTTATGCAATCTGCAATTTCTTTTTCCTCCAGAGACGACAAATATGACTGAACTCCTCCACCACTGTTCGTCTTTTGAAGTCAGTCCAGTCCCACGCGTTCCTTTGACTCGATGCTTCAGTGTAGATCGTGGAATATTGTAAAATAATGATGCACTCCGTGTCTTCTTGATGCCATTTCTAATATCCTCAATTGTCCTATCAAGGCATATGGTATATGAGGAGCCAGCACCTTTCTGAGTTTTTCTTATGTACGTTCGTACCTTTTCGGAAACAAAAACAATCTGATATAACCTAGGCTTTGAAACAGTAAAGGATGGAAAAACATTTTAGGTCCTAAGGCCCTGAGGGGTAACTGGACCAGTCTCTGGCCCAGTTACTCCCGATATGGATCCCAGTGACCCCGAAAGAGCAAAAGCTCTCGGGGTAATTGGACCACCCATTCTAACCTCAAAACTAATCAAATAAGCATGCAAAACTAATTTAAACTTTGTTAATAGAATATTAATCAACACTTTTATACTAAAATACATGATACAAAACACTTACCTTGATAATCAAAACAATAATGTAAATCACAAGCTCGCCACGTTGATTTCGTAAAAAATAACTACCAATTTAAATTTGACTTCTCACAGCAAACAAAAGTACTATGAAGGATAGAACCAATGTTTTGGAGGGAAGGTACATTCTTACAGTACAACCAACAGCAAAAAATTTAAATACATTTACAGTTTAAGAATGAAAAAGGTATGGCCCAGACCCTGGGTCCAGTTTCCCCCCATCATCCTACATAGTTAGTGAAAAAATAATAATATTAATTAAATTAATGAATAATTTAAACAATTATGCCAGTAACGATTATCCAAGAATATTCAAAGACTAAACTAAATAACCATCTTTATTTTACTGGAAAAATTGCTCTTCGACGTCGACGACAACTAATACAGGCTCGGACCAGATTTACTATTTTGATTTTGAAGTGTTGTATTTTGAATTGATTTGTTAGTAATGCTTTGTCGTTTTGATGGTTAAAGGACAATTTACGTTTATGTTGTTAATATTGAACTAGTAAAAATTATTTGTTGTGCGTTTTAAAACTACTTAAGTATTTATTTTTATCTGTATAACGACTTTAAACTATATACGTGATTACTGTTGTTGAAAACAAGAATGTCGTCCACTGATTCTACTGATGAATTAATTCATAATAGTAGAATAAATGGAGTCCTTCTCGAAACATATAAGATTGCCATGAAAAGCCTAAGGTTCGAGACCCCATATAACCTTAGTACAAAAAGAAAGATGGAAATAGCGAACACCCTATTTCCAAACAAGCCCGACAACACATTCCTACCGATAGACAACAATATTAGACCTGCAGAGTTCACTACTGAAGAGATTATACAAGCAGCAGAAAGTATAAAGGCAGGAAAAACACCAGGCCCGGATACAGTAACGCCAGAAGCAATAAAACTGGTAGTAAAAGGGAAACCCGAACTGATGCGCAGAATATTCAATGAACTGTTGAATACGCAAGAGTTCCCAGATAAACTGAAATTGGCGAGACTCGTATTATTACCAAAACCCGGAAAGAACCCAGATGAAGCCAATTCATATAGACATCTGTGCTTACTAGATTGCATAGGAAAATTCCATGAAAGTCTTATAAAGAAACGTCTTGAAGAAGAGCTCTAAGTGCTGGGAAAAATTTCAGATAGACAGTACGGTTTTAGAAAAGCCAGATCGGCTATAGATGCGGTGAGGAAGATCTCTGACACTGTAAAAAGATCGGAAAAAAGATGGGCCATTCTCGTGATGTTCGACGTGAAGAACGCCTTCAACTCTGCAAATTGGCATCACATACTAACGAAGCTCTAAGAAGCAGGAGTGTCAGAATACCCTATGGAATGTACTGTACAACGGGGTATTAGAAATAGACTATGGTCAGTACACCTACGCCATAGCATATGCAGACGACCTTGCAATCCTAATAGAAGCTAACTTAAATGAGGATATTGAAGATAAAGTAACAAGTTGTTACAGAAAAGTCAACAGGTGGATGATAGAGAATGACCTAGAGTTGACAAGTAGCAAAATAGATATAGTATGCTAAAGGGACCAAGACAGATACCAACTTGGAGTTTTGATTTAAATGGTAGTATTATAGAACCGAGTAACTGTGCTAAATATCTGGGCATACACCTTGATTCTGGTTTGAGATACACTAAACACCTTATAAATGTAGTCAGAACGAATGGCAACAAGAATGGGAGACACAGACAGAAAAAGTACAGTGGACGAAGAAACTAATTTCAGACGTGAAACAGTGGTATCAATGTAGGTTTAAAAGAACAAATTAATTTTTTACTCAATTCCTGACCCGACACGGCTCTTTTAGGTCCTACACATATCGCATAAGGAAAACTGAAGATGACTTATGTATAGAATGCGGAGTGTGCGACGACGCACAGCATTGCGTATTCCATTGAAATGTTTTCCAAGATAAGCAACAAGATATGAGAGCAAAACTAGGAGAGACAATACCAAAGACTATAATGAATGTAGCCATGCAAAGCAAAGATAACTTCAATGTGATAGTAGACCTAATAACAGAGATAATAAAAGAAAAGGAAACGCGCGAGAGAGCGAGACAAGATGGGAGATGAGAGTGACAGAAGACATTATCAAGGATATTTTATCCCTTATTTTACTTATACATCCTGTATCTATACACTTTTATCTCTACACTGTTTCACGAAAACAGACATGTTCATCTTATCTGACTTTATCCTAGTTATTTACACTTATGTTTCATTTAATATTAATTTTTTCCATAATTTTTATTGTACACAGTACTCAATGGTTTACTTATGGAACAAATTAAAAGAATGACTACTCCTCACAGTCGGCTTCCCCGACATGGAGTAGAGATAGGGACAGCAGTGGGTCAACCGAAGTAGCATTTGCTAAAAATACGTACCGGGTGTCCGCGGTTGGAACGAGGGGGTTTTAGTGGGTAGGCAGTTGCGTTCTCACGATTGATTGCTCGGCATTGCGGGTGCTGCTTCGAGATATATGAACTCTTTGACTGCTTCGAAGTTTTGGTCATTGATGATTAAATCTGCTCATTTCCAGCTCTTGTGTTTGTGTTAGTCGCCATGAATTTGGTTTTATTTTGATTTATATGTAACCCCATTCGTTCTGCTGCTGCTACTAGCAGAGGTTAGGATTTCGGTTAGGATTACTGCAGTTCTCGCACTGGTTTTTGTTATAATGTCCAGGTCGTCTGCATATGCTATAATTTTTACTGATTTATTAAATATTGTTAATATCTATTAATTAAATATTGTTAATATGCTATCTAAATTAGCGTCTCGTACAACTTTATCTAAGGCGACATTAAAAAGCTGACACGCCAGCACATCTCCCTGCCTTAACCCATTATGTATTTCAAATGGGGTTGATGAGTCGTTTTGAATTTTTACTGCTGATAGCATCTTCGCAATGGTCACTTTTATCAAACATATGAGTTTTTTTTAGAATTTCTAATGCATTCATAGAGTTGTAAAGACTTGGTCTTAAGACACTGTCATATGCCGCTTTAAAATCGACAAAAATATGATACATATCTATGTTAAACTCTTGTGCTTTTTCGAGGATCTGTCGTAGTTTAAAGATCTGGTTAATGGTTGAATGTCCACGCCTGAATCCTGCCTGATATTCTCCTAGAAACGTTTCGGTATAAGGCTTCAATCTCTGTGCAAAATGTTTGACAATATCTTGTATGCTGTATTTAGGAGAGTTATTCCGCGAAAATCAGTGCATTCCAATTGGTTTCCCTTTTTGTGTAACGGACAAATTAAGCCTAAGCTCCATTCTTCAGGCATTTGCTCCTCAAACAAAATTTTACAAACAATTTCTCGCATCACCTTGGTGAGATGCTCTCCACTGTGCTTATAACTCTGCTGGGATGCCATCGCTGCCTGGAGATTTGTAGTCCCTTAGTTTTTCTATAGATATTTTCACTTCATCTACCGAGCGCGAGATCCACGAGTTCCTCATTTAGGTATTCCAGCACTATATTGTTAGTAGGTTACCCTTAAAGCAACTGACGAAAGTGCTCTATCCATCGTAATAGGATATCCTCTTTGTTGGTAAGTAAGTTACCTTCCTTATCATTACAATAGTTGATTCTCGTTGATCTATTGAATCATAGGCCTGTTTAAAATCTACAAAGAGATTGTAAACATCCATGTCATATTCCCATACTTTGGCTAGTATTTGTTTAACTGTAAATAGTTGGTCAATCGTAGATCTATTTTACCTAAACCCTGCTTGATATTCCCCAATTATTTTTTCTGTGAGTGGTTGAAGTCTTCGATTAATGATGTTTGTGAGTATTTTGTATCCCGAACAAAGTAAAGAAATGCCTCTATAATTCTGACAAAACAATTTGTCTTCTTTTTATGAATAGGGCAGATTATACTTTTCTTATAAAGAGATGTAACTAAGTGTATGCGAAGGAAAAATTTTTTGAAATAAAAATGGATTTTCTATGAAATTAAGCAGAAATAATCTTTCATTTTTAGTAGTATACAAACCCTGAAGCAATATTATTTTTAATATAGGAGCAGAAAAAACCCTTTTGTATTTTAGGAGTGATTATTCCAGTTTGATTGTTAGTTTGCCAATTTGATAAACAATGAAATATTTCAAAATTAGTCATTTTCTACAATAAATTAACATATTATTTAATATCTTTGTATGGGTATTGGTGCTGTTTGTTGGGGATTACACTAATAATATATTAAATTAAAATTTATGGATAACAAGTAATAAACAACTTACACCTTAATTTTTCTTCTCTTGTATTCAATCTATTTTCTTTATTCTTTTTGATAGGTATAAAGTGAGCAAGGACTTGCATGAATTGTCTAAAGTTGACTCTATCATTAAAGTCATCTCCTTGAAAAAAAGAGTTTACAATGCGTTCCCCAAGGGGATTTATAGCCAATTCAGGTATTCGTAAAAAGTCATCTCTACTTAATGTTCCACAATCACCTCTGTCCAATGAAGTAAATCTTGAATACAACCTTTCAATCTGATTGGGTGTAACTAAAAGTATAGAAAAGAAAATAAAAGTTATAAATGGTGTCTGAATACTAATATCCATTTAATAATTATAATTTACACGAGTTATATAAAAAAATAAATTATAATAAATCAGTAGAAAATCATTGCAATTAAATACCAAAACAACTTCAGACAGTGTCCTGTATACTCTAAACTATTGTTCAATAATTATATTGAACATATCCTGGAATTGGTTCTAGGAGAGATTGCCGTCGTGAATTCCCTATTTCGATTTGAACACTTGCAGATATTCATACATTCACATTCATACACATTCATAAGTAGCAGAAGATAAGACAAGGATATAGTAGTTTAACATAGAAAATACTTAGATTATGCTCCCTAATGACAAACAAGTTCCTCTACGTTATTTTATTGCCAACTAATAAGACATAGGTAAAAATCTAACACACTTACATCCAGTTTCATTCTGTATTTGTGCTATTTCTTCTTCGCGTAAGAGTAGCGACGATCTATTTCCCATGTTTATATAAGTATTTTATTATATTGAGAAAAGATGGAACAGGTATTAACACCAACAAACAGTATATTGCTAAAGAATAGCAAACAACCAAACTAACAACATAAAGACTTTATACTTTGACGTTTGACCTATGCACAGATGATAAAATAAATTCAATAAATTATCTAAAATGTCAGTGTCAGGGAGAAAGAGGGAGAGAGAGAACTCATCACGTGACTATTATAAAAACAAAACAACCTTACTTCGGCCAATGACGTTTCGGCCACCTCGGCCATATTGTTACGATCTTTATGTCAGATCGTGTACGTGTCGTGTATGATTGTTGTTGTTGATGTTTGTTGTTTTTAGAATCTTTTTAGGTTTAATACATTATAGATAATAATATAGTTATATAGAATATTGTGATATAATGGTTTCTTGTGCTATGCGTAGTTGCAGTAGCAGAAGCAATGGTGATACAAAATCTTCAGGAATATCGTTTCATAGGTTAGTATACAAATATGTAAACAAAGTAACGGCACAGTATAGCGTTAAAGAATTTTTTATAAAGCAATATAATTAAAAAGAGAAAAAAAAGATTCTACATAATCGTAAAATCTGTCCTGTCCATCAAAATTCAAATAAGAATTAATTCCCCTCAATATTTCCTGTTAAACTCCACACATTCTTAATCTTAACTTGTCACGGAAATACTGCAATCTCAAGAAACTTAAAAGTTTGGTTTTTGTTTTTGGTTAGAATTAGAATTATACAAGCTACAAGTGCTACAAGTACGTTTCTGATTTTGTTAAGAGTTTTTATTATTTGGATTTGGAAGTTCTTTTGTTACCAAGATTAAATTGTATGTTAATGTTAATGTATTACATTATTATTTTTGTTAAATAAATAGCTTTAAATTTAATTTAAATCATAATACAAAAATTGGCGCCTTCTTTCATTGGCGTCATGTTCACGAAACAAGCACAGTCTAAATAACAAATAACTAACTAACAACTGTTCATAGATAAAGAATCAACTGTTCTATACCAGAGAACTACAAACGCAGAGAAGCGACACTCTTTTGTTCTTGCGTGGGCCGCTTCAAGCCGCCAATGAGTAAAAATGACAGGAAAGCAACCAGCTAACTAATAGTCAGTGGGCATATCACACAATATAAATTCTTAAATAAAATCGAGCATTTAACTTAAATGTACACAAACCTAAAACGATAATCTTTTTTGGTGGTTCTTCGATATCTTCACGGTAGTCAATTGTGTTTATCGTAATATATTGAAATTTGGAAGGTACTGCGTCATGCACCAATGTTTTTCTTTTATTTTTTTTGACAATAAGATTATCTTCAAAATGTAGTTCACAAATCCTATAACTATTATAAAGTATATCCATTTTTAACAATAAATCTTCTCGTCTGCAAGCTTCTATCCTCATTTTGCCACTACAAATTTTTAACAGAACAAATTTAATACACACAGAACTTTTTGTATTTATAAATAATACTTCATTACTTACAAATATAAGAGTATTAGTATATTCTAAGTATATTGTAAGTAATGAAGTATTTAACTTTTGTCAATATCTCATCTTAATAAATTTACAGTTTTCTCCTGATTAAGTCACAAAATTGTCACTAAATATTGAGATATACAACAAATAAAGTTTTAATTATTTTTTTTTGTAATTCCCATTTAAATATTTATTCCCTAAATATTTTGTGTACTACGATCCATATATTTGGTCTTTGTTATTTATATTTAACGAATTAAACATTGACAGACAACTTTTGTATATAGCAAAAAGTAGATGAGTATTTAGTGTTTTCATAATTTAATGTAAGTTTGTTTATTTGCAACCATGTTTTTATTTTGATGTCTTGTCTGTTGTAATTTAAGATTTTCCCAATTATCGGTCTAATTATGTTTCCAACAATTTTTAGTTTGAGCATTTTAGGAATTTCTTTGTTTAGTTTAAATCAAATATTCTCGTGTATAAAACCCTCTATATATTTTTATTCCTAAAAATACTATATTCGTATTGTTGTCTGCGAACGCTTTCGCACCAGTAGGCCAACATCTGTTGATTTTTTGACCTGAGCCTTCGGAGACAATAAATTTAATATTTTTATTTTGAACTATCCCTTGGCAGACCAAAGTTTATTTTTTTATTGCTCCACTTAACGAGAGCTCGGACGGACACGTCGGCGTCGGCTTACTGATCGAAAGTCAAATTAATAGTATTATGTAATAATTAATAATAATTACAAAGCAATAGTAATTACCTGTTATTATTCTTAGGAAATCTAAATAAACTTATTCCTTTTCCTGTCATAAATGAACATCCGCGAAACGCACAACAATAACCAGAAGACATTTTAAATACTTATAATTAAACTTTTAACTATAACTATATATTTAACTTATATATTTTAACTATAAACTATAAACTATAACTATAAACTTTTAACTACTAAGTAAATTAGATAAATGGTCAAACGCACTTGTATAGTCGAGTATTTACCACAGGTGCCTACGGACTATCGTAAACAATTAGATTTGAAGAAAACGCACGTGTTTTTGACAGTAAAGCAACCAGGTTCGGGCATGCGTACACAGAAAAGGTACTCGAATTTCGGGGCTCGTGTCGCTTCTCTCTCAGAATCTTTATTATTCTGTGTCTATACTGTGATACAACTTTGGCGAAATTAGTCCAGGCGCTTCAATATTTGGTAAAAGTATAGAATGTTCCGATTAAATTAGTTACAAATGAAACGTCAAATTTGCGTTTGCGGTATTGTCACAGAATAAAAACTAAAAACAATCAGAATGCCCACTCTGCTTGTCCAGATATACGCGCATCTCGTTCGCGGAGACGGAATCAGCCATGTTTTAAACGGAACCAGTGAATTTTTTTCTGGTGTGCATAAAAAAATTAACCCAGTTTAATTGATTTACGGCAACCATAGACATAATATGGAATATTTTATGTCTTACTTTTAGTCGAACAATAAATTAAATTATTTCAAATTTAATAAATTATCAATCTCTAAAAATTTAAATTATGGTTCTGTCGTAGCTTGTCACAAATTTCTTAATGCGAGTCTGTGTCTCCGTTTAAAATATGGCGATCGCGTGCTGACACACTTCAAAGGCGGCATCTGAGAGTGGGCATTCTGATTGTTATTTATTCTGTGGTATTTCCATGTCCTTATTATGTATATTTGTATATATTTTATGCCTCAAATACGCTTTGAAACAATACATTTTTATTATATTATGGAAACTGGTATTTTTAATATTGTTCTGAAGCTATTTTCTTGTGGCATTTTAAAGTAACTACTATTTAAATGGGAATAAGCCACAATTAAAGGTTAAAATACGTTCATTGACGCTTCAATTTCCACTTCGAAAATCGTTCTTTCGAAATTCGGTATTTTGAGAACGTTTTCCGAAGTGGAAATTGAAACGTCAATAAACGTACTTTAATATTTAATTGTGGCTTATTCCCATTTAAATGACATTTAAAAAAAAATAAATTTATATAAAACACGAACGAATGAATATTTTATTCTTTCGATATTAGTTGCAGTTAGTTATTAGAAAAAAATGTTATAATTGCCCTTTGGTAGATTAGCGGATAAATTTGGTAATACTATCTTCTTCTTGTTGTATGTAGGCTTTAAAGCCTGTTTCTTCTTCAATATTAGTCTCCTAAATTGTTGCACCATCTTTTTCTCGGTCTGCCAATACTTCTTCATCCGTTTGGTGACTTATCTCGTGTTATTCGTACTATCTAGTATCTCATACTTCGTTGTTTCTAGTAGTCGTCTCGTTTTAGATGTGTCAGGTCTCGTCTCCGCCGTGTATGTTAATATAGGTCTAATTGCTGCTTTATAAATTCTTGTTTTTGTGTCTTGTCTTAGGCGTTTGTTCCTCCAGATTGTGTCATTAAAAGATCCCGCCGCTTTAAGCTTTGTTGTCGTACTTCTTCAACATCTCCGTAAATAGTTATATCTATTCAATTTTTGAATCATATGGTCACACAATGCACGTTAATTCTCCAACAAGAATCTCAAAAACATCATCCTCGACAATTGATTATGTGGTTTCCGATTTTCCACCCGCTGACGTCCATTCTACAGTTATTAGTGGGGGGCTTTCTGATCATGAAACGGTATATACCAAGTTTAGCAGTTTACAAACACCTCACTCAAAAACCCGACGATTAGGTAGGATTTTTTCCACTCAAAACTTTCGTAAATTCTATAATTCATGCTTGACTTCTGACTGGAGTTTTTCTTCCGGAGACATTGACTGTAATGTTAGTGATTTTCTAAATAGACTTGTATCTATTTTTAATAAAGCATTTCCTCTATTAAACATCAGGCCAAAACATAATAAACCTTGGATTACCAAAGGCATTCGCATATCTGCGAAAAATATGCGGTCTTGCTATATATTAAAAAATTTAATGACAGTATCCCCATCTCTGATTATATCAACAAGTACAGAAAATGCTATATAAAACTACTCAAAGTAGCCAAAAAATCCTACTTTCATAATCGCTTAACAAGCTCCAAAAATATTTCAAAAGAAACATGGTCAATAATAAACGATTTTCGAAATAAAACCAGTACAGCGGATCAAACCTTTTCTTTTCCTAACCCCGAAAATCTAAATGATTACTTTGTTAATGTGAGTAAAAATATAACCTCAACTATTTCGCCACATCAAGATCCAGTTTCCTATCTCTCTAATTCAAAAAACATTGCTGATACCTTCTTTTTAAGACCAGTTGATAAGACGGAACTCATTTCAACAATTCGTAGTATAAAAAGCACATCGTCCTGTAGTACAGATGGATTATCTATTAAAATTTTCTCAATCTACCGCATAATGTTTTGGACGTCATGGTCTCGATAGTAAATGATTCCCTTGAAAAAGGTACATTCCCTAACTGTCTAAAGACTGCCATCGTCATTCCTCTTCATAAAGGTGGAGAAAAATCTGATGCCTGCAACTATAGACCTATTGCCTTGTTACCAGCACTATCAAAAATTATTGAAAGACTTATAAAAGTTCGACTTATGCCCTTTCTCCTTAAATATAATATTTTATCGCAAAATCAGTTC